CTTATTTAAGGTCTGTGATTCATTTCAAATTAATATTTATTTATTTATTTGGCAGCTGCTTGTTACAGGAATCTGAGCCCTTGACCTTGGTGTTATAGTACCTAATTTTTTTTACATACAATAAGATTTATATAAAAGTGCAGTCATAATGCAACAGTGACAAGAATGCATTTTTTAAAATTTTATTTATTTTTTAACATTACTTGTACGTATTTATGGTATGTTGTTTTAATACATGCATATACTGTGCAATGATTTACTTAGGTTAGATAGCATAGTTTTGTACCCATTAGTCCATCACTTCTCTTCCCTCTCACCCCCTCTTAATTTTTGTATATGATGTGATGTAGGGGTCAAAGTTTATTTTATTCAGTAGAGGTAAACAGTTGTTCTAGCACCTTTTTGGGGGGGGGCAGCTGGCCGATAAGGGGATCTGAACCCTTGACCTTGGTGTTATTAGTACCATGTTCTCCCAGGTGAGCTACATGGCCAGCGTCTGTCCTAGCACATTTGTGAAAAGGTTTCCTTTCTTCACTGAATTTGTTTTGATGCCTTTGGTGGAAATCAATTGACCACGTATTGGTGGTCTGTTTCAAGATTCGTTTTTCCCTTCGATCTATTTGTCTCTCGTATGCCACCACTACATTCATAATGTAGTTTTATACAGTAAGTCTTTAAATCTGATAGTGTAAGTCCTCCAACTTTATTATTCTTGTTGAGTTTTGTGTTGGCTATTGTAAGCCTTTTGTGTTTCCAATGAATCAACTAATTGGTTTCTACAAAAAAGCATGCTCATGTTTTGATTAGAATTGTGTTGACTCTATAGATCAATTTAGAGTAAATTGAAATCTTAACAATATGGAATCTTCTAGTCCACTAGCATGGTATATCTCTCCTTTGTTGTGTGTGGTCTTTAATTTCTTTCAGCAATATTGTGTATTTTCAGTGTGCATTTTTTTCATTAAATTTGTTCCTATGGGGCCGGCCCGTGGCTCACTCGGGAGAGTGTGGTGCTGATAACACCAAGGCCACGGGTTCGGATCCCATATAGGGATGGCTGGTTCGCTCACTGGGTGAGCGTGGTGCTGACAACACCAAGTCAAGGGTTAAGATCCCCTTACCGGTCGTCTTTTAAAAATAAATAAATAAATAAATTTGTTCCTAGGTATTTGATATGTTTTGATGCTATTGTGAATAAAATTTTTAAAATATTTATTTCCCAAATGTTTATTTCTAGTATATAGAAATAGATTTTTGTAGATTGACCTTGTATCTTAATTCACTTATTAGATCTAGTAGTTTGTAGATGCCTTTGAATTTTCTACGTATACCATCATAGAAGCACTGTATACTTCTGTAGATAAAGCATTTTTCGGTTCTAGAAGTTTTATTTGGCCTTTTTTTGTTTCCAATTTCTTCCCATTTTGTTCATCTTTTCCTCTATGGTTTCATCAAGTGTTAAGAATAACGCTACTTAGAAATATGAAAAGACTGCAGCCAGTGTGGATAATTCTCTTTTTCAACTGCAGATCTCTCTCGGCCTTGTCTGCTTATCATACTGGCTTGATTGCGCCGATGAAGATCCGCACAGAGGCCCCTGGGAACCTTCGTTTATACAGTGGGAGCCCCACTCGCAGTGAGAAAGAGCAGGTCTCCGTCAGCTCCTTCTACTACAAGGAGCGGGTAAGTGCCAGAGCCATTGCCTTTGATTCTCACCCCTTCTCCTGGATTCTTGTTCTTTGTCTCCCTGCCTGCCATGCACAGCAGCTAAATTAGCCTTTCGCGTTCATAATTAGTTTGTTCAAGAAAGATCATTGCTTTGTTGTTGTTGTTGTTTTTTGGCAGCTGGCCAGCACAGGGGTGGAACCCTGGACCTTGGTGTTATCAGCACTGTGCTCTAACTGAACTAACTGGCCAGTCCCCTGCTTTATTCCTTGCAGTTGGTTTTAACTACTGTTGATTGTGTGTGACATGGCTGGCTGGTTAGCTCACTTGGGAGAGCACGGTGCTGGTAACACCAAGGTCAAGGGTTTGGATTTCCTCACCAGCCAGCCATCAAAAAAAAAAAAAAAATTGTGAGGGAGAGGGGTTATTTTTTATAACCCATATTCCTCACTCCCCATTTAATCCTTTCCTTGAAATCCCCATTCATTGAGTTGGTTCCCATTATCTCGGGTAGAATAATTTAGCTCCAGGTCTTCCTTGGCATTCTTATATTTGTCAGCAAATTAAGGAGTGCTTCTGAAGGCTGGGATCTTGATATATTTTAGGACTTCATAGTTGTGAGAAAGTTTAAAGTTAATCTCAAATAGGTTTTGTTCTTTTGCTAAGTCTACAGTTAAGTACCAATTTGAATGGGCCAGTTTATACAAAAACCACCTGAACTTGTCCTTATGTTCCTGGATTCTTAAGGAACTCATTATCCCTAAGGTAGTTATCATTAACCTGTCAGTAACCTTTGGTGACAGCAATGTACAGAACATTGGCAGAGCGTAGGAATGATTCTAAGAACTCTGTGTAGTCAGATTGAGAGCCTGGCTTTTAGCTGACGTTTTAAACAGTTACCACTAAGTTACTGCCCAAACTTGGTCCTTATAAATTCTTTGTTGTTGTGCCTCCCTAAATGAGAAATAATGGATTTTCTAATTAAAATTTGTTTTTAAAAAACTAAATTATTTTAAATATTACGCCAGTTTCTAGCAAGTATTAGAGGTGTCTTCGCTTCAACTGTGGTACAGTGTCTAGCCTTCTTGCTTCACACTGGTAGTTGACCATATGTGACTTTGGTTTTAGACTTGTATGTGACTGAAATGAGTGGCATCAACTGATGCTTTAGACTGGACCGGTCTGGGGCAAAACCATTCAGTTGAATAGGGAAAATGATTTTTTTGTTGCCTTCCTGGCCAAGTTTCTGTAGTCCCTTTCCTCACATCTCTGAGGGAATTCTGTTCCCTTGTCTGTCACAGACCTCCTTGGAACACCTACTAAACTCTATCCTCCCCACATCCTTGATATTCAAACTGTTTAGTTCTTTTTTTATTTTTCCATAAGCTAGGAGGTAACTGGATAGATAATTTGATAAACTAGCTGGAACTAAGGCATTTTATTGGCATAAAAGGCAAACAAAGTCATGGTTGGGTAAATGTGGGAATATTCTTGTGTCAGGACCAGGTTGAGGAGATCTTTTAGTCAAAGAGGCAATTCTCAATTCCCCTTTGATTCACGTCATGTGCTATCCATGTTTGGGTTTGGATTGGGCAAAATAGATTGACTAGCACTTTTGACTTTGTGGTGGCATGCAAAGCCCATCTGTAGTCAAAATAACTGCAGTTCCAAGATGGGGTCTTTCCTAATGCAAAAGCATTTATAAAGCCTATGTTCATGTTTTTGATGATCTGGCCTCTTTTACTACAAACACCATAATCATAAAGAGGGACCAAAAGAACATGGATAATTATCTTTTAGCAGGCAGGAGCTACTGGGGAGTGGAGGAAGGACTGTGATATTTCAGTTTGGGGTTGTTCCCAGTGTGCTGCTTCTCCACAGAAAACAGGCTATTATAATCCCCTAGTGTGACATATGTTTTTTTTCAAATAGTGACCAAATAAAGTGGGGGGACACTTTTATTATAATTTCATATGAAACTTTAGCATTGATGCCAGTGTGCTGCTTCTCCACAGAAAACAGGCTATTATAATCCCCTAGTGTGACATATGTTTTATTTCAAATAGTGACCAAATAAAGTGGGGGGACACTTTTATTATAATTTCATATGAAACTTTAGCATTGATATATGAAATACGTATAGAAAAGTTCACAAATCATAAGTGAATAGTTCAGTGAGTTAACTAACAGTCACATAGTTCAAGGAATAGAACATTACAAGAGCCCCAGAAACCCTGGGGAAGGGGGACACATTTTAACGGTGACATATAATAATTATTGGATTCAGTCATATGAAATTGCTGATATTTGACCATTTTTGACCAAAAAAAAGTTTCATATGGTTCAACCTGATAGGTTAAGAAGGTGAAAATGAATGTCAGTTATTTCGTGATGAATTTAATAATTTATGTCTCCTTGAAGCTTGTTCATGTTCGTCCCATTTAAATGGGGCAAATGGGGGAATTTTAGAAATGGAATACTGCAGTGATGTCTTCTGTAGGATATTTTATCTTCCTCATGAAGGTCAGTACTCCTTGAGGAGTATTTTCTAATCCTTAGTTGTCTAGTTTCACATGTCGAATGATATCACTTTTATTACTTTTGTTCTGGGAACAATTCCAGTTTACTAAATTTCTCTGTGCTTAAGTCTTTGTTTTCAGCCCCAATTTTTCTCCTACATGTTTTTATTCCCTTTTAGATCTCTACTCCTGAGAGCTTTAAATGAGTGAGAATAAAGGAATAGAATATAACTGCATTAAGGCATAGCAATGGAGGAATTATAGAGTATTTTTGAGGTTACAAAAAAATCTTTGTAGAGCCATTTGGAGATTATTATTTGTTTCTCTTGTTTTTTTTCTGTGTGTGTTTTTAACCTGTTCTACTTAGGTCATATTGTTATATTGATCCAAATGTTCTCCGGATGGAATTCCAAGGTTTGCTCCTGAAAATTTTAAAATGTGAGAGACCTAAAGAACCATTGAATTTCATAGGAAATCAGAAAGCACAGGGAGATGCTAACATTCATTTGGCAAGTGAACCAACTATTAATAGCTGATGAAATATTGCTTTTTCCTTGGGTAATTCAGGAGGCCCAGAACTTATGATCAACATTAGGCATTGCCTTACAAACATTTAAAAATTTTTTCAACCTCCCACCCTTGCTTCAGTTTATGTTATTAAAATAGCTGTCATGTAAATAACTGGGGAGGTCTTTAGGTCAATAGGATACTTTCTGATCTCTGTAAACAAATGCTCATGTGGTTAGCAAGAGCGCCTGTAGGAATGGGCCTCTTCAGCCTTAGCTCCTGCTGCCCCTCCTCTCTCCAGGGCCCCTGCTTCCTCCTGCATCAGTCTGAAGATAGTCCTGCAGTCCCAACATTAAGATAGCCAATTCCTGGGGCCGGCCTGGTGGCGCACTGCTACAGTGCGCCGCTTGGGAGTGCATCGGTGCTCCTGCCAAGGGTTTGGATCCCACATACAGACTGGCTGCTCACTGGCTGAGCGGGGTGCGGGAGCAACACCGAGGGTTGTGATACCGTTGCCGGTCCCGGTCCGGTACGGGTGCGACACTGAGGGTTGTGGTCCGTTGCCGGTCACGAAAAAAGACAAAAAGGGAAAAAAAAAAAAAAAAGATAGCCAATTCCTTCATTGCCCCCCCCCCAACCACACCCCAAAAAAAAAAAAAAAATTGGTATTGAGCCTATCAAAGAAATTCTTCCTTTTTAGGAATGAGAATGTACTCTCAGTACACATTCTCCTTCTCACCTGTTAAAGGGGAGAACAGTCTTCCTCCTGTTTCTCCACTTGCATTGTGATCTTAGTCCTTGTCAGAGTGCTCCAACCTGGATTGGAGCTTCTTTGTCAGAGCTTCGTTGACGTCCCCTCTTTATACCTTGAAGTGTGACTAGAGAATAATGACATTGAAGCTTGCGAAGGGCTAGGAGGGAGGTGAGGGAATCCAAGTACTGCTGTGCTTTAGCTTCAGATTTCCAGTATTCCAATCTGATTTTGCAGTATTTATGGTACCATTTAATCCATCAGATGTGTGGGAAGCTTTCATTTTATTCTATATTTTTCCCTTTTAATTTTCTTGGTGTTTTTCTTCCCTCTTCCGGGTGTAACGTTTTCACGCACAGATGTCTCCTCGCTCTGCCCGGCGACGTTGGTCCATACAAGCAATTAACGACTTCCCGGTACTGTGCGCTGTGCAAATGCCTCCTTAACTAATCCTGTCTCTGCCCAAAGGCCCAAGAATAAAATGCCACCTGCCTGGCTTTGAGGAACCTGAAATGACAGGCTGGCTGGTTTTCAGGACCAGCAACAATAAATTTTTTGCCTTGTGGAGTCAGGCACCAAGGACTGGCTTCACCTTCAATCACATAGTTTCAAATGGGTTCATATTGTTGAGGATCCTGAAGGGACTTCTTTGCAAATGAAACTTAACGCTGGGTTTCTTGCTGAGAACCCTGATTGTAAGCCTTTAGCTCACCTGATTTCACTTGGAGCATTAGTGTAATTTCACGGAGCTTCCAAATGCCTACCTTTGGCATGGGGGGAGTGGAGGAAGATATAAGAGGCTTTGCCATTTTGTCTGTCTGTTTTTATAGTCTTGGTCTAGTTCAGAGAGGGAAGTGCCCACCTGCTTTGTTGGCATTACATATAGCTAGTTTTTAATCCTTTAGGAATTTTCTGGAACAAATTTTTTCTATACCATCAATATTTTGCATTGACAATGAAACCTGTACTGTGGCCATCCCCTTTTCCTTTTCTTTCTTTCTTACTCACTCCTATTGGCCATTTCCCCTCTTCTGTCTTCCTCTCCCATCCCCTTCATGTTTCAGTAGTGCCAAGGTGACCTCAAGCTGTGCAAGGCAGCCTTGAGGCTTTATGTAAATTTCATTTGGTGAAAAGAATATTTAGGGGAAGAGTCCTGTAGCCTTTTCATATAAAAACCAATTGAAATTGGGAGCCCCAATTAGCATGTACCACTGCTGCCAACAACTTGTAGGTGGAACCACCAACATGGCCACCTTTCCTCAAAAAGCCTGTCCCAGCCAACTAGACTGCTGAATTTCCACTGATTTTCCAGGAGTCACTGCTCCTGCTGCTATTTAAATAGGAACTTATGTTGACTCACTGCCCACTCTGCTAATTATGCATCCATTGATGGGGTTGCTGCGAAGCAGTTGGTGGCTTATTCTTGGGCTGTTTTTACATTTAACCCATTTATTGGCATCAATGTTGCCTTTGATTGTAGCAGTAACACTGGTGGTACAGTCGCGAGCTGGCTGTTGGTTGTCATTCAGTGCTATTTGCACCAATGCCTCCCTCCCACCCCCTTTCCCCTTTCTTCCCTGTCCTCTTTGCCACAACTCCATGAACACCTTCTTGGTATATTCAGAGGGGCTCACCACATAATGATTTGTCCGTCTTGCTTTGTCTCTCTTCCCTCAATCCTGCCTCATGAAATCCATGGGGAAGGGGTATTTTATGTTGATTGAGTATCAAAAAGACCTAAGAGAAATGCAGAGTCCTTTGTGTCCCAGCAGTGCCAACTTTCCTGCACAGAAAAGTGTCCACATGTCAGCCCGTCAGAGTGGTACTGGAGCGATGCAGGAGGTTTAGGGGCTTTTAGCCCATAGTGCCTTCCCCAACCCAGAAAGATTAGCCACACCATAACCTAGTATGTCATTGTTCTCTGGAATCAAAGAATCCCAAGAGAACTCTGTGTGTTGTGACCTGATAGTTGTACAGACAAGAGAGACTCCTAAAGTCACCAGCAAGATATAAAGGGAAAGAGAAGACTTTGGGGAGGTGTGGATGCAGTATGAGCCCTTTTTATTGCCAGAGCACTGGAGGAAACACCCTGAGAAATGGTCCATCTACTTGTTGGGGAGCAGCAAGGAACTAATATCTGAATTGAGATTTAGCCTATCTTCGTTTAAGCAGCCTTGTTATGTTTGAATTCCCCAGAATAACTGGCAACTGGACAGGAATACTGAGTGACATCTACAGCCTGAACAGGGGCTATTTCTTCTTTTAGAATCACCAACCAACAAATTTTTTTAAAAAACAAAAACCCACATTGTTTTATGTTTGCTTAAAGATTTTTAATAATGTTTTGCGGTTATTCCTTGTTGGATTGGGAAAAAAAAACCCTAATAGTGCTGTCCCATAATTGCTTTTACAGCTTGATTCCTGATGGCAGCTACAATTAGGGTGACCCTGTGTTGGAGAACCTCTTTCTGTTGGAGGCTCAAAGGCAGCTGAGTGAGGTTGCTTAAAGTGCCTCCTGTGCATCCAGTTCAGACCACATGAACATCTAGAAGCCTGATGTCTCAAGAAGTTCCAGGAAATACAGACTATGATTTCCATAATTCAGTGAAGGATAATTGCAGTTGTCAAAGACTGCTGTCTTTACATTTTCATCAAGTATTTATTGATGGGTTACATTGGTTTGTTTCTACTGATCTCTGTAACCCAAGGCTGCAAATGGGGGAAGAGTCCTAAGACATCTCTTTGGACTCTGAGTTTTCTTCTATCTGAACGTCCCTAATCCTACCAGGTCCACAAAAAGGGATAAAACAATGTGAGGTACAGACTATCAAACTTGGCCTGAAATACAGCATCTGGCTTGGCCCACGTAAAGCTGTGGAGCTTCAGGAGCTGCACTCCGGCCAACTACTCTGGCTCAGCAGAACGCAGTGACAATGCCTGGCAGAAACGTGACTAATGAAGCAAGTGATTGTAGGATAGGCCTTGCTAGAATCAGACGGTAATCTTGTCATGTGCAGAAACGGCTCCATTTAAACATGTATCAGACCATTTACGTATTAACAGGTAGCTTAGTAAGGACTTTTTTTTTTTCTTTTTATTCTAAAAATCATATACTGGAGAGCAAGCTAACTAGAATGGGCTTAGCAGCCTGACAGGCCTGTGTTCAAATCTCAGCTGTTACGATTGTGACCTTGAGTAAACTTGTAAAATGTAGGTGATATCCCCTCTGTCATCAAGCTGTGGTGAGGCTTATGCCAGCAGAGTGAGCATCCGTAAGTGGGAGCTAATATTGTTGTAATAACCACAGACAAGTCTTTAAATCCTAAGTCAAACATTTGTACACTTGGACTTTTGTAATTCATCATTTTCAAATGAGCTAGTCTACTTGCAGATGAGTCACTTTTGGCACATGGGCCTTAGTATAATGAATAATATTCTTTTATTAGGTTTGCTTAAAAAGTCAGGAAGCTGGCTATTTTCAGTGTGTTCTGCAAGCTAGTTGACCCCATCCTTCACGAGGCCTCCATTTATTGCAACTGTGTGATTAAACTGAACTAATGACAATTGCTAACTGTTCAAGTGCTTCTCATTTTCTCTTTGTGATAAGGAGACAGAGTGACTGCCTGGAACAGTGTTTTAGAAGCCTCCCAACCAATCCAAAGACCAAGATAAATGGATCATATTCCATTGCAGGTGGAATCTTTTTAGCCCAGATTTTTTTTAAAAAAGTCCAGTACCCTAATGTCATTTGAGATGACCAATTATGTGGAACCTGTGGATGTGTCATTTCTTGGAATTTTTAAACTTTTGGAAACCTGAATGAAAATCACAGTGAAAGGAGTTTGTTTACCTTATCCCTTCCCTGTCATGGTTACCATCTTGTACTTTTCACTGTCACTGCAGGGTAGATGTATGCTAAATTACCCTCCCTGAAACAGGCCATGTCGTAGTACTTAGTGCATGTGTGACTCCATCTATCTATGTCATTAACACTGCCTGGCTCCAGCCCATTCTGACAGGTTGTTTGCTCTTTAACACATCCTCCTCTAACTTGCACCCATGTCAGGATGTTTGTGGCTAAAAGGATAGTATTTTTGTGAGTATGTACATAATTCTTGTTTAGATAAGAACGAGGGCAAGTAGAGAATTGAAGAGCTACCTTACAGTAATAGATTAAGCTTCCCTTTGTCTTGCAGAATAATGACGTGTAGGAATAAATAGTAAATAGTAACTGAACTGCTTCTTAAGATTAAATATGTTAAGGTTCTAAATTAATAGTGTAGCATATGAATTTACAAATTATGATAAACAATTCACAGTTACTTTAAACTTTTTCATTTACCTGCTCTGAATTAAGTCCAGGTGTCCTGGATTTAGTAGGTTCCTAAAGGAAGTTACATGCATTGGGCAGCTTTGGGATTAGATGGGACATCACCAGTGGTCAGAAATGCCTGAAATTAGACCACAACTAATTCATGGAAGAGTGATTGTATAAAAATCACTTGTGGAACACGAATTTACTTGTGAGTAATCTAAATAATGATCTAATTTAAATTCTTAAGAGTATATATAAATTCACAATAATTATGTATTTTTAGATTGCACTTTTCAGTTTATACAGTTTGCGTCCATAACTTTTCATTATACCCTTATTAACCTTGGGAGATTAGCCACAGTTATAAGAGAGCAAGGCAAGAGTGACACGCATGAGTTAAATTCACAATAAATAAGTAACTTGCTCAGTGTCATATTTAGCCAGTGCTTGTGGTAGTAAGACCATTAAGCCTTGGTTTTTTGACTCCAAATTGCAGCCCTTTCACTAACTCCTTTTGCCTCCTTTGTTAATAAATATTGTCACTCCTTCCTTAGTTGAGTCGCTTTGGTGACTTCCTTTTTGACTTTCGGCAGTAAAATAAAATAGAATATTGCTCCCTTGGCTGGTTGTCATTTTGACGATACCAGGTGGGGCTACACTGTAATAATTCTTGTTTTCCAGGACATCTCTCATTTCACACGTACAGGCTCTTCACACATTTATAAGCCACTTATAGGTAAGGCTCTGGGGAAGTGGGACACTTGCTCATGATCTTCCATTTCCCAAGTCCCTCAATTCAAGTATTTTTGACATTCTAAAATGATCACTTTTAGAAATAATTCAAGTCTGCTAGAAAAACAGGGTAATTCTCCTCGAGCTACCAAATGTCTCTTCCTACCATAGATTAAGGTTTGCAGAGGCCGCACTGCTATGTCAGAATTAAATTTTCACTACATTATGTTGAAAGAGTCTGAGAAGAAAAAAACTGATCAGTTTTAGGCAATAACTTTGAACCCACTACTGAACTTAACCTACAAACTGTTCTTCTCCCACATTTTGGGGGTCTTTACTAACTTATTTACCTGCTGTTTTTAAAAATTAATTAACTAATTAATTAATTCTGGCTTCGTGGTATCTATTTTTGAGCACCTGCAGAATGCATATCCCTGCAGTAGGTGTTTATTTTCCTGTCAGGATTTTGGGTCAAGAGCTCAATGCCCTTTGTCATCCTTTTATTTCCTACAGATACCAATTCATGTAATTATGGGCATGATGTAATTTAAACTCTTTGCAAATTACCAATGACCCAAAATATGATGTGCTCTGCTACTTAGTTTTCTGTGCATTAAAGTCCCCGTTAGTTATATCTTGTCATCTCCCCCAGAAATCAAGGCGGTGGAAAAGTAAGCGTGAGGGATCAGACTCTGGCAATCGACAGATCAAGGCTGCTGGGAAAGTCATCATCCAGGATGTTGCATGCCTCCTTCCTGTTCACAAAGCACTGGGAGAACTGTACATGTAAGTTCAAAACGTCAAGTTTACTATGCTTATCACTTAGTCAAGATTAGCAAAATTATTTTTTTAAGGTATTGGAACTCTCTTTAAAAGCAGTTTTAGGAGAAGCCCAATGTATTAGCTTTCTATTGCTGCATAACAACTTACCACAAACTTAGAAGCTTCAAACAACATTTATTCATCATCTCACAGTTTCCATGGGTCAGGAGTCTGGGAATGGCTTCACTGGATCCATGCTCAGGGTCCTCTTCCAGGCTTGTTCAGGTCATCAACAGAATTCAGTCCCTTATAGCTATAGAACTCTTCTATGAATTTTATCTTCTTCGGACCAGGGGAATGGCTCCCAGACGCTTCACCTTCTTTCTAAGGCCTCACCTGATTAGGTCAGGCCCACCCAGGATATTCTCCCTTTTGACAAACCCAATTAACTGTGTAATAACCTCATAGATTGTACAGCCGTCACCACAGTTTCAGAATATTTTTTACCCCAAAAAGAAACCCCATCCCCTTTACTGTCATCTATCAATCCCTTCTTGCCCCCAACCCTGAGCAACCACTAATCTATTTTCTTCCCCTACTGCACCCTCATTCTTTAGGTGAGGATTAGACTGAGCAATGGAGGCTACTAGCTGTTTTCCTGTCAGCTCAGTTGTTTTTTCCTTATAATGCCCCAAATAAGTTAAAGCTAAGGCCTTTCCTTGATTTTTGTCAGATTAAGAAATCCATAAGTTTCCAGTTGTCTTCTAATAAACACTGTCAAGTCTTTGCCCAAAACCCTTTTAGGAGAAATTCAGTCATGGCTTTGATCTAGTTCTGTAAGGACCCAGCTCCCTAGGTTCGTAGAAAGGTGCAAAATTGACAGTGTAGGCTGGGGGCCAACATGGCTTCCCAGCCAAGTAACCCTGGGCAAGTTATTTCAGAGTCTCTCAGCCTCTGTTTATGTCTGTAAAATGAGAATCCTAAGAATAATTTCCTCATGGGGTGGGTAAGAAGTCTGTTAAATGCAGTGACCCAAGATTCATGTTCTGAAAAAAACATTCTCTGAGGAAAAATGACTTCCTAAAGATTTTTGTTTCTTTGTTTAAAGTTTTTTGTACTTTTCTGGCAGAGTTGATTTAGAAGGGCAGGCCAGTCCAAGTGAAGTGGGAAGACTTGTGTTCAGACAGACTTGGCTTAAATCTGGGCTCTGGCACATTTTTGTTATGTGATCATAGGCAAGCCACCTAGTCTTTCTGAACCTCAACTTCCTCGACTATAAAATGGTAGCAATACTTCTAAAGTCATTATGAGAATTAAATAAAGTAATATATGTAAGTCCTATAACTATATTCGGTAGATGGTAAATGCTTAATATATGGTATAATTACTGCTGCTGTTCTTGTAATTACCATTTGTGACATGGTATTGTTTAATAGGACAGAGAAATTACATCAGTAAAAATGCTTGATGAATTTTTCTTGTTCTTCTTTATGGCCATGTTGAAGATGACATGTTTACTATTTTTGCAAAGAGTTGCATAAATAAGCCTAAGTGTCACCATATCTGTTGAAGGTATTTAGGAAATGTGTACTATAAAGTGAGGAAATAACAGCCTAAATTGTCAGCCAGGGTAGTAAACATCCTATCCTATCCCAAAAAGCCATTAACTTCTTTCTTAACCATTCAGGTGGGTCACTGATTATAGAGATGAATGGAACCTTCAAGTTTCTCCTTTTAAATGATACTTGTGTGTATTTTTATGTGTGCCACATAGTTTAATTGATTTTTCATGTCTGATGTTTCTCTAGTTGTTTTTCAGCATTTTTATTTGCTTCTTCTTTTTCTTAGTTATAGACTCCTTGATTCAGAGTTCATATATTCTTCCTTTTGAGCTTCTCAAAGAGTGTAATATAGTGTTTTCCAGATAGTGGTTGTACAATGATGGGTTGCTACTAAGAAAGGTTTTCTAAAAGTAGTATTTCAATTTTTGAAGATATTAAGGAGATGGGGGCTTTGTTTCTTTTGTTTTTTGTTTTTTCATGGGTTTTTTTGGTGGCTGGCCAGTGCAGGGACCGATCCCTGGACCTTGATGTTACCAGTATCACACTCTAACCAACTGAGATGACTGGCCAGCCCCAATGGACGGGGGCTTTGTTTATGACCTGATATATTTAGCATGTCCTTGGATTTGACAAACACTTAATGGACATTAGTTTCTGCTTGATGCCTCCAGGCACAGTGATATTTCAAGTTTGGTAGTTGCTACTAAGAAAGGTTTTCTAAAAGTAGTATTTCAATTTTTGAAGATATTAAGGAGATGGGGGCTTTGTTTCTTTTGTTTTTTGTTTTTTCATGGGTTTTTTTGGTGGCTGGCCAGTGCAGGGACCGATCCCTGGACCTTGATGTTACCAGTATCACACTCTAACCAACTGAGATGACTGGCCAGCCCCAATGGATGGGGGCTTTGTTTATGACCTGATATATTTAGCATGTCCTTGGATTTGACAAGCACTTAATGGACATTAGTTTCTGCTTGATGCCTCCAGGCACAGTGATATTTCAAGTTTGGTAATATCCTTCAGATTTGTTGTCAACAAAAAGGAAGCCAAGTCTGTTTTGTCTTGGCCTTTTTTTTTTTTTTTTTTTGTTTTTTTTTTTTTTTTTTTTTTTGGCAGCTGGCTAGTACAGGGATGCAAACCCTTGATTTTGGAAGGCCTGTTTTTCTTTAGCTTTACAGAGTATCTTGAAACTTTTGTAATGAAGATGACAAAGTTTTTCATTATTTGAGTGAAGAAGGGCCAATCTTACCTGTGACACAAAATGTTTTTTTTTTTTTTCTTTTTTTGCTCCCTGCCAACCCAGTTCATTAATGAAGCAGCAGAAAAAGTCATATGATTAGTGGTTAAGTAGATGAACTGTTGAAATTATTGCACTGTGTAATTTCTCTGACGTTTGCTGAATGAAAGTTTTTGAGGCTAGTGTTTCTCAAACTTTATAGTGCACACAAGTCCCGAGGATCATGTTAAAATGCAATTTCTGATTCAGTAGGTCTTGCTGCTCTCAGACTAGCAAGGCTAGTTATGGAGAGTAGGTGGGGTTCCTTCGTAGCTTCTGTTCCTGTCCTCCCCAGTTTGAGTTTGAATGTTTTTCTTTGATCTGTCCAGGTTTGGTCGCTGGCTACAGTAGCTACAGATCTTTGCCTTGGTCCGAAGTCTGACCCAGATTTGGAAACACCCTGGGCTCGACATCCGTTTGGGCGACAGCTGCTGGAATCCCTGTAGGTTTTGAGAGCTAACAGTGAGGAAAATGAGTGATGTCAGTTTTAGGTCTGTAAGCTCTTTAAATATTATTGCCTAAGAGAAAGGTGCAGAGGCCTGAGGAATGAGGAAAAAGTGCAATCTTTCCTTTTGGTGCTGAAATAATTTCTGTACAGAACTAACTTCTTGTAGCAGAAGGAACTGTAAAATATTTGTCATTTACAACAAGGATTTGAGACCCCTCAGACTCATGTGTCTTTTAGAGATTCATGTATTAGTCCATCAGTCACATCAGACTGAACACAGGAGTTTAAGCTCCTGTGATGGTAAATTTCTCCTTGGGTGTTGTAGGGTTTTACCCCTGAGAGCAGATTAGAGGATTGCATGTTGGCATTCATGTTTTCCAAAGGCCACAATGCTTTTACCCTGTTAGGTAGTTCATAAAACATTGAATTTGTGTTCAATTTGCTGCCCTGAAATATGGCAAGCTGGAATTATACTATACAAAATAATTTACCACAAAGTAAAACCACTGGCATCTCCACAACATTGAAGCCCAGGCCCTGGGCAGAGGAAGTGTCCTTCCCTCTGGTTGAGGTTTGCTTTGCTGACTTGTGGAGGCCAGACCTGGGCCTGTGCTCCTACTCCTGTTGCCTCCTTGTTCAGGGATGTGACGCTTGTTCTGCCCACTTCAGGTGAGGCTCACATAAGACAGTGAGTGAGAAAACACTTATATATGTTAGGCATTGAGTGCTAGGAAGGTGTCACTGTAATTCCATCACAAAGGCAAAGTCCTTCTGGTCCCTAACTTACGTTCTAGCACAGTGGTCCTGAAAGGACAAAGGGGATATGAGTACCTAAAAGGTAAAAATACTCCTTGTCATTCTCACTTAATAGCTCATATTCATAACTCCACCTCCAGAGTCTATTGCCTGCTTGCCACACTGTTGTATCCAGTGTTCTCTGAGCACCTTCACACAGCTTTAGGTTATATGAATGATGTATACAGGAACCCCCCAAAAAGCAGGATGATTCTTCCTCAGAGCTGGGAGGCTGAGCGAGCATGTACTGCCTCATGCAGATGTTAGGTTAGTCTACTTAGTTCTCAGAGAAGCTATGTTCATGTTTGACCCCATGCCTGAATGCCAACCAGAAGCTTTCAGACTGGTTATCTAGGTCATTTGTAATACATTGTTACCTTTTATTCCAAAACAAACTTAGCCAAACTCAAAGTAGGCCAAACCATGGGGTCTGTCTGTAGAAGCCCCAGCTCCTGACAGGTTTTTTTTTTTTTTGTCTTTTTTCGTGTCCGGCAACGGATCGCAACCCTCAGTGTCGCGCCCGTACCGGACCGGACCGGCAATGGGATCGCAACCCTCGGTGTTGCGCCCGCACCTCGCTCAGCCAGTGAGCGGGAACCGGTCTGTATGTGGGATCCGAACCCTCGGCGGGAGCGCCGCCGCACTCCCAAGCGGCGCACTGTAGCAGTGCGCCACCGGGCCGGCCCCTGACAGATTTTTGAGGCAGAATCAAGAGTCCGCCTATCCTACCCTATGGAAGTAACCACCATGACTGTGATAGGCTTCCTCAATCCCTTCCCTTGACTTGTTTTCTTTCCTTTCATCTTTTTCTTCAGGTTGGCTCATTATTGCCGACTCCGGGATGTTCAGACATTGGCCATGCTCTGCAGTGTGTTCGAAGCCCAGTCTCGGCCTCAGGGAATACCAAACCCCTTTGGGCCTTTCCCTAACCGTTCTTCTAATCTTGTGGTGTCCCATAGTCGATATGTAAGTTTGTTTTTCTGGTTTGTGTCTGATTTTTCCTCAGTGTACACTTTCATGTGGAATGGGATTCTGACTCCAGTACTGTCCGTTTTCTTCTTCCCATCCATAGCCCAGCTTTACTTCCTCGGGTTCCTGCTCCAGTATGTCAGACCCAGGGCTCACCACTGGTGGCTGGAACATAGGTTGGTATGGAAATGACTTAGCCCACACTGGAGTTTTAGTACTCTGAAAGCTGCATGCAGGGCATTAATATGTACTCTAGTTGATGCATATTCTCCATATTTTTCTTTGTTTCTCATTTCTCTTTAAATTCATTGTGATAGGGATACTGTTGCCAGCAAGGTCTGGCCTTGCATGTTGTACAGGCTAGTTTCTGGTGGGCCTTTGTGCCTTACTGGGTTGCTTTTCATCTCATAACCTTGAGAAACAGACCATGGGACCTCCCAGTGTTCATCCCAAAACCTAACCTTTGGGCTGGCCCATGACTCACTCGGTAGAGTGCGGTGCTGATAACACCAAGGCCACGGGTTCGGATCCTATATAGGGATGGCCGGTTTGCTCACTGGCTGAGCGTGGTGCTGACAACACCAAGCCAAGGGTTGAGATCCCCTTACCAGTCATCTTTAAAAAAAAAAAAAAAAACCTAACCTTTATCTTTTCTCCTTCGTATGCCCCTTCCATGATCATGTGCCATGTCCTGTCACCTACCTCTTCCCATGACCACTTTCAGTGTAGAGAAATGCAACTGGCCCTGGCTCTAGCTGGCCCTAAAGTTCTGTTTAATGAGTAGGTGTATTTGTGTCATCTGGTTTTTAAAAATTTCTTTTCAAAAATGATCTTAATTTTCTTGATTATAAAAGTAGTACATGCCCAGTGTAGAAAAGCAAACAAAAAATACTAGAGGGCTGGCTGGTCAGCTCAGTCGGTTAGAGTGTGATGTTGATAACACCAAGATCCAGGGTTCAGATCCCTGTACTGGCCAGCCACAAAAAGTAAAATAAAATAAAATAGCCCAGCGAAGAAAAGCAAACAAAAGTAGTAGAGAAGAAAATAATAATCACTGGTCCCCTACCTAGGAATAACATCCATTAACATTCCAGAACATTTTCTTCCAGCGTGTGTGTGTGCGCGCACGCACGTGCGTGCGTGTATTGATCATTCTATATATATGATTTTTTTTCATTTTAAAGTTTATCATGAGCATTTTCTTATGTTGTTTGAAAAGTTTTTTAAATAATGACTGTATAACATTCTGCTATATCAATATACTGTAATTTGCTTATTACTGCGTGTGTACTTGTTTACCCAGTTCTCTTAGTAATAAATACCTGGACAAAAAGATAAGGCTGGGAAAGAGTTCTGTGTAGTTATATTTCTCAGAATCTTCACCTTGCTGATTTTTCTTCCAGGGAATCAATTGGACACACATCATATTATGAGAGTTCTCAGATATTTTCCATGCCTTCTCTAATTGCCATTTTCCCTTCCCATTTGATTTTCTTCAGCAGGAAGAGAGGCAGAACACATATCTTCACCTTGGGGAGAGTCTTCACCAGAAGAACTCCGCTTTGGGAGTCTGACCTACAGTGATCCTCGTGAGCGAGAACGTGACCAGCATGATAAAAATAAAAGGTAACCACCTTCCCAGGCGGGAGGTACGATTCCAGAACCCTAGATTCTCCAAAATTAAATCTCTTGCTCTAAGAAAAGTACATGAGGGCTCAAAAAATTTGTGGAAAGGTTTGTATTAATTTTTAAACCCATTTTTCCATGAACTTTTTGAAGTATTAAGGATATCGAGCTTGTTTTTTCTTAAAAGAACTGACATAAGTCTTTTGAATTTTATCCAGGCTTCTGGATCCCGCTAATACCCAGCAATTTGATGACTTTAAGAAATGCTATGGAGAAATCCTCTATCGCTGGGGTCTGAGAGAGAAACGAGCTGAAGTGCTGAAGTTTGTTTCCTGTCCTCCTGATCCTCACAAAGGGATCGGTGAATATGAATTTCTCTCTTTTCCTGTCACTGTCTGAAAGGTCCTGTAACTGAATTTGTCCACAGCATCAGACTTGGAATGAAGTTTTAGCTTCTCATTTATAAGCAGAAATTTGTGAAGCATTTTGAGTCTATTCCAAGCTTCTGAAAACACTTGCGTTTCATAAGGAGATTAAATTTCTGTTGTGACAGAAGTGGTTTTATGAACTGTGCTCAGGTATTGACTGGAAGTAGGGACAGTGGCTCATTCACTCACTTCCTACATACCCAGCTCCTCTTAGGCACAGCGCTTGCTCGTTCCCTCCCCTCCTGGAACTCCCAGCCAAGTGGAGGAGAAAATTAAAGAATTACAGATTGTGATAAATATTAGCAGACTAAAAGGATGTTGGGGCAGCGAGAACAAGGAGAGAGAATTTTAGAAGTGTTGAGTTATATTGGGGAGGCCTCTCTGAAGAGCTAAGGTCTGAAAGCTGAGAAGGAGCCCTCCTTGCAAAGCAGCGAAAAGAACATTCCATGCAGAGGGAGCAGCCCAGGAGAGGAATAACTTGGCTCTGAACAAGTGAAGGAAGGCCAGCGTGGCTGGAACACAGTGAGTGAGAAGGTTGTAGGATAATTAGGGCTGTATCAGGCAGGGACTTATAAATTTTGCTAAAGAATTTGGATTGTGTTCGAAGTCCCATGGTAAGCTTCAAAGGGCATTAAGAAGTAAGTGATGACATGCTCTAGTTTACATTTTAAAAGGATCACTTTGGCTGTTACATGAAGAAAGGATTGGAGGAGGGCAGAAGTCGGAGCAGGGAGGCTGTATGGAGACTGTTACCATAGTCAGAGAGCTCACCGGCCTAGTCTGAGGGTGGAGAGAGGTGGATGAATTACAAATAAGTTTTTAGAGGTTGATTCAATATGACTTGCTAATAAATTGGATGTGGGATTGAGGAAGAGAGACAAAGCTTGGACGATTCCTAGGTCTCCAGCTTGAGCAACTGGAAGAGAACACAAGTGGCAGAGCTGTGTTCTGAGACAGAAGAGCCTGTGGAAGAGAATTGTGAGTTTGGTTTGGGAAGGTGGGAGATGTGTGTGAGATTGAACTGGAGGAGTTGGATGTAAATCTGATGCTCAGAAGTTAGATGGGGCTAGAACTAAGAATTTGGGAATCTTTAGCATATAAATGGCATTTAAGCTCTGAGAACGGGCATATTTACTTGAGAGCTGGGGAGTGGGAAGGAAGAGTGTAGGGAGGGTGGATAAGAGAGCCCACCCACTGTGGGCCTTGAGAGACACCAGTACCTGGGGTCCTAGAGGAAGAACCAGAAATAGAGATGTAGAATGAGACACCAGTGAGGCTGGAGGAAAAACAAGACTGTGGTGTGAAAGAACCTAAGCAGTGAAATATTTTCAAAAGGATGAAATGGAAGACTGCCAAAGAGAGTGGACTAACATACATTGATTTCCCACCAAAGGGTCTATATAGAGCTTTTTTGAAAAGATGTAACTCTACAAGGAGAAGTAATGTTGGCAATACGGTCTGGAATTTGGGAAGCAAATAGTTTAGTGGTAGCTCATTTTGCAGGGTCTGATAAAACTCAACCCTGAACTCGCAGTCAGTAAAACAAGGCACACTGCAGAACCCCCAAGTAGCTCAGGAATTAGCGGTACCTGGTGCTTCTGGAAGTGGCTTGAAGGTGAGATTAAAAACAGGAGTATTGTTGGATAGCCCTTCGAGGATCCCCAGATTCCCACTCCTAGTTTGCAGAGCACATTATTATTTCTCCTCTGCCCCAACAGAAAACTGGAAGTTTATTCTCCAGAGAAGGTAAACACATTTCCAGATTCAATGGACCCGCCATTGTACCAGCACAATGAATGAAGAAATACCAGGGATACAGGGAAGACTAGAAGCTTCCAGAGAGAGAAAGCAGGTCGCATGCAAAGGATTAAGAGTATGAGGCATCACACTTTTCAGGGGCAATACTGGTATCTAGATGACGATGCAACAACACAAAATTCTCAAGAAGATGATTTCTAACCCAGAATTCTGTATGCAAAGCATAAACCTTCAGCCTAAGATGGAGGAATAGATTGAGTCCAGGAAATAAGGGAGTTGGGATGCTGGTGAAGGGAGCTGGGTGTGACAGATGTGGAGATGCACCAGTTCAGACTGGAGCTTCGGGTCCCTGTCTCCAGGAAGAGAAAATTGGGAAAATATCTAGCATGTTTCAATGTTCAGTATATATATATTTTTTCAGCAGCTGGCTGGTATGGGGATCTGAACCCTTGACCCTGGTGTTATAACATTGTGATCTAACCAACTGAGCTTACAAGCCATCCCAGTGTTCAGTATATTTATAGAAGATTGGGATATTTGAGGAAGAGTTTGGAGATAAATTATTGATAAGTGCGTAACAAACTAAGCAAAAAAACCACATTTGCTAACTCTGGGAAAAACGTGTAAGAAAGGAGGTGTCGTCATAGTACATGGCTTGGCTTGAATAACATTTACCTAGACAAATAACAAAAATGGAATACTGATCTGACCGAAATGGTGATAGAACTGTGTGGGGAAGCTGAGGGGCACGTGGCTTATGTGTGTGGTTGGAGAGACTGAAAAAGTCAAAGAGGTTTCAGTTGTGGAAAGTTGGTAGACAATGCTTAAACTGAAAATTAGAAATAGCCTTATAAACATGTTGTTTAAAGATAGGGAGGTGAAAACAAAAGAAACAGTTAAACGAGTTGAAAGGATTTCCTCTAGGGAGTGATGGGGGTGGGGATGGCAGGGAATGCTGGGTTTTCTAGTAAGGTGCACAGAACTATTTGACTCTTTAAGTTGTGTGTACATAGATTTGATATGAAAAAACAAACTAGAGTAATTCATAGATTTAGATAATGAATAACAAGGATTATTTTAGTATGGTTTATTTTGGTATATGTACTTGAAATGCAGAGACCAAATGTTATTTGGGCAATATATTTTTTCAGAGCCTCTAAATGCATGAAAGTATACCCGGAAGAGATTAATGATAGCCTGGAGCAATTTGTCTTTTAAAATTGGTTCCCAGGAAAACATGAATCACAGAGATATGGAACTATTGTTATCAATCCGCCAGTAACCCTTATTGACATCTATCTGGATTATAAAACATCATGCTGGATTCTGTGAAATGTACAAAGAAATATAAGGTGTGGTTTGGGGGTCAAGAAATATAATTCGGCCGGCCTGTGGCTCACTCGGTAGAGTGCGGTGCTGATAGCACCAAGGCCATGGGTTCGGGTCCCGTATAGGGATGGCCGGTTCGCTCACTGGGTGAGCGTGGTGCTGACAACACCAAGTCGAGGGTTAAGATCCCCTTACCGGTCATCTTTAAAAAAAAAAAAAGAAATATAATTCAATCAGAGGGTCTGAAGCATAAACTCATGAAGCCTTGAATGATAGTCAAGAATGAATAATATATCTTAATATCAATAAAAACAATATCACGAGATTTAAAAAAGAGGGAAGGAGGATTGTGAAAGATAGACTAATAGACAAAAACATTAAGAGAAGTATTTTTATTTGCAGAGTTTTACAGGGTAGTTCGACTTTGGAGGAATTGGACTGCCCAAGTACAGGACACAGCAGGTATTGAAAGAAAAATACCAAGGCCACAGGTAGTCTCTTGATGATGGAAAACCAGCAGTTTCCTCTCGTGCTTATCTTCTCTGCAAGGGTATCTGCAGATATCATTGTAGCAAATTAGATGGATAAAGTTGTTTTCACTTAGGGGGTTAGGTATTTATAGAAAGGGCTCAAGGTTTCATTTGTTTTGGGGGGATAATGCTAGACAGAATATTCCTTTAAAAAAAATCTCAGGATGTAAGATGATTTTTGTTATTTTCGATTGTGGTGTGTGAAGTACTTGGTCATAATGGTGGCAGAGCAAAGTGATCGCTTTGCTTTCTGAGCCTCCATGAGGGGATAATTCCTTCCTGAGAAGTGTAGATCTGGTCACCTAAATTTTGTTCAGAAGTTTTCTAGTTCTGTTTAATTTAATGTCTTACTTATTTCACTGGTTTTATTACATTTGTGTAATAGATGATGTCAACTAATACACACAATTCTTCTTGTTGTATGGTTAACAAACTAAAGCCATATTACCCTAGGCTTTTGCCTGGCGGTTTTGTAAAGCCTTGGAATCATAATTTGATCATTCTGTGTGCCAGAGTATTTTTATTATCTTTATTAGTTTGTCTGTTAGGAATCAAGAATGATCCATTTCACCTCTACCAGGTTTCACCTGTGAAATTTATAATGTAGTAGTGTGCCTCTTGTCTGTGAACGCCAAGTTCGCAGTGTTCCTGGCTTGTCAGGAAGTGACATCTGTACTTTGTGTAAGGCTGAGAATCCCTAAGCCAAAGAACAATTTCCTGGGAGGACTTTGTAGACTTCATGTCCACATTTGAAGCATTCTCCTCCTTTTTATAATGGCTTATCATACTCAGTTAAATGAGACTTGAATTTAAATGTGACATTTTGAGAATGGCCTTGACTATAATTTGATTTATTCACGTATCTTATTAAGGAGGAGGACAGATTCTTATTGAACCTATACAAATACTTTTTCATGAAAAGAAGAGGCACTTTGTATGACTCTTAATCATTGTTTTCAGCAGTTTTGCCGATAAAGTTAATTAGTATATATTCGTTTCCAATGGAATTATGGATCTTAGGTTTTTCTAATGATAATTTAGATCTTGCAATCTATATTAATATCTTTTTTGGATTTTTTTCCTCCTGTATTCTGAGAGGCTAGTTGGAACAAGATACCATTTAAAGAGTGTTTCATTTTCATTTATATAAGCTGTTAAATTGAAGGGTAAAGATGGAGCAAGAGAAAAGAAAGGGGTTTTTCTCAGATGTCTATTAAAAAAACAGGCCATTAGTCCCAGTTAAATTTTTTCATCAGTTTTATCCAGTCCTTGGTAAGTAATTCTTGTTCTAATTATCTCTACCCATCTCCTTTTACTGAAGTCATCTACTTTTTTTTTTTTTTGTCTTTTTCCATGTCCGGCAACGGATCGCAACCCTCAGTGTTGCCCCCGTACCGGACCAGGGACCGGCAACAGGATCGCAACCGGGATCCGAACCCTCGGACGGGAGCGCCGCCGCGCTTCCCAAGCGGCGCACTATCCAGTGCGCCACCGGGCCGGCCCAGAAGTCATCTACTTCTGGACTAAACAGTCCTAGAAATCCTAATTCCATCCTCCAGTCTGACAAGGGTCTCCTGGGGTGGTGGTGTCAGCTTATATGGAAAGCTGGTATCCAGGAGTCTCTTCACTGGTGTCAGTAGTGAAGAGTACTTTCAGTAGCACCGAAGGAGGCTTTATTTTGATGTTTCATCTAGCAGCTTCCATTTCTAACCTATAGTTTTTAGCAGGGGACTTTAGGCAAGAGTGAGGCAAAAGCAGAAACCAACAATTGACAATAAAGCTGGTTAATTTATGATAACTAACAATATCATATGGAGCAGAGGAGTCTTCTCTCCCGTTACAATACATAATCATTTCATAAGGATTTAGTGACTGATTACCCTGAGACTAAAACATTTTGTACAGTGAGGATGTTGACTCCAGGGTCTTTTAATTCATCCTGTAAAATGTTCGTTAAGATTATTGCCAAATGAAAGGAATACTTTCATTTTAAACATAAAACAATCAAATTGTAAAATTAAATTTGTTAACAGGTATGCCAGCCTTTGTAAATATACATAAGTATCCTTCTATTGATCTTGAAAGACAGTTGTTGAAAAAAATTCATATTAATGACCTGTCCTTGTATGCGGTTACCTAGGGAGGTTGAACTTCCCTTTTTGATTTTTTATACTTTGGGTTTTATAAATATAGCTCTCAACAATAATGTTAAACTAATTAAAAGTATGGATTGTACCAAACATTTCCAATTATTTCTAGCATCTGTCCTTCTATATAGTGAGGGAACAAATCTTCAGTGTTGCCCAAAGGTAGCTGGGATGTAGAAGACACTGAAAGCTTTATTATGCTGAGTTTGGGAAAAAGCAGTTTGAAAAAGAGTTACTAGAGGTGATTAGTTATAAGCATGAGTATTAAGTACATAAAGACAAGAAGTAGTTACGTACTTGGTTCAGAATGATAATATTTAAAATAAACAGAGCAGGAAATAATTATTAAGAACTCTAGACTTTTCAGGAATTGACTTTTGTTTAACATGATTCAAAAGCATGACAAAACACCAAAAGTTTAACCAACTCTTGAGTGAGATTGTTTTGGTGCTATAAGGAACTGTCTTATCCAGGTACAGAATAACTTTTTATATTTTCTTCCTCACATATCAGTTTTCTTTTGAATTATTGCTTTTTTCCTCTTTATGATTTATAGCATTTTTTTCTTTAAAAATTTTAAAATACCTTTATACGTATATATTGGTATTTAGATGTCCACAAAACTAGCAAATTTAAATCTCTTAACTTTAAAATTTTAACTTTAGGCTGGCCAGTTAGCTCAGTTGGTTAGAGTGCTGTCTTGTAACACTAAGGTCAAGGTTCTGGATTCCCCTACCAGCCAGCTGCCAAAAAAAAAAAAATTTTTTTTTTTTTAAATTTTGATAAATTTGCAAGGTTTAACTAACCTTATCAGCACATTCAGTAAGGCAATGCATATATCACTCATTGATTGACCATACAGCTAAAACTGTTAGATTTCCCATGGTGAACTAACAAAGTACATCAGTTATCTTGAACACAGATTCATATCTCATAGTTGCAAATAGTATCTGCTTTGCAATTTGTATCTAGTATAGTCTCAGCCACCCAAAGTGTTCTTTTTTCCCCAAAGACTCAGAGAAAACCTGGGACTGCCTGTCGCAGTCACCCTTAGCAAATTGTCAGGGAAATTCCAAAGATAGTTGCTATGTAAAAGATACCTTGACAGCTCTGTTATTTTGAACACACACCACATCCTTTTGTACCCAGCAAGACCCAAAGGTGTTTGCATGTCCATCTCAACCTGTTAACAAATAGCCATTCTATTATGTATACCAATGAAAGGCAAGGGAGAATGACTTGGTGTTTTGTATTTTCTGTCTTTGTGAATTTAGATCTACTTGGAAATAATTTTAAATGTTGAATGGAAGTAATGTCTTATCAGACCAATAAAACTGGTAATGAAAATTTAAGAAACTAATTAGGCTTTTCATGAGAACATAGGGAGAAGATATGGCTGTTTTTAAACCAAAATTATCAAGCCAGTCTGATTTGTCTCAGGATTTAACTTAACTAGGACTACCATAAAATTTTTCCTTAGTTGCCATGTATTAAAGAAGCTTTTATTGGTGTATTTTTATTGGTGTATGACCACCAGTTGTCATACAGTGGAGCAGCCAGTTCTGATGCAAGAAAGGGACCCTTCCTCTCCTTCAAGAGGGAAGGCAAGAAGGAGCGAATCTAGGGAGACTTGAAGACGCGGTGGTGTCAACTGCAGCAGTCTCGTTCAGAGGCTTCTGTTTTCTTGGAGAAGTCAGTAAAGAGGCCATCAGCATGTGGGAGAAGTTTGCAGAATGTGGCTGAGGTAGGAAGTAGCCATCGGGGGAGTGAAAGAGAAACAGTTCGCTGCGCAGGCCTGTCCATCGGTGATTGTGTGATTGTAGTTAGATGCGCTTCTTGATGGTGGGCCTTCCTCCAGGATTGCTCGGCTTCTTGGGGGCAGACTTGGAGTGTGCAGGTGGTATAGTTCATCCAGGGTTGATGTTTTGCCAGGTGGTACTGTGGAGGGAGACACGGGCAAAGGAGTTGAAGATATTAGCAAAAAAAGATTATAAAGTTGGTTCATGTAATTTTGGTTGACCAAACTGCAGCCAGCCAGGGGCAGTTGTATAAAAGGGGTATAGGCAGTGGGTTAGAGAGGAGAGGGCAGAGGCCTGAGAGGCCAGGCATGCACAGGGTTAGTAGCTTGGGATTTGGAGACACCAAGAATCATGGCTAAGAATTGAGGTAGAGGGAAGACTGAGATTCAAGAACAGAGGTCTTCCGTGAGTGGGGTGTGTCTTCATTCTTTTTTTTTTTTTTTTTTTTTTTTTTTTTTTTTTTTTTTTTTTTTTTTTTTTTTTTTTTTTTTTTTTTTTTTTTTTTTTTTTTTTTTTTTTTTTTTTTTTTTTTTTTTTTTTTTTTTTTTTTTTTTTTTTTTTTTTTTTTTTTTTTTTTTTTTTTTTTTTTTTTTTTTTTTTTTTTTTTTTTTTTTTTTTTTTTTTTTTTTTTTTTTTTTTTTTTTTTTTTTTTTTTTTTTTTTTTTTTTTTTTTTTTTTTTTTTTTTTTTTTTTTTTTTTTTTTTTTTTTTTTTTTTTTTTTTTTTTTTTTTTTTTTTTTTTTTTTTGTCTTTTGTCTTTTTCCGTGTCCGGCAACGGATCGCAACCCTCAGTGTTGCCCCCGTACCGGACCGGGGACCGGCAACGGGATTGCAACCCTCGGTGTTGCTCCCGCGCCTCGCTCAGCCAGTGAGCGGGAACCGGTCTGTATGTGGGATCCGAACCCTCGGCGGGAGCGCCGTCACACTTCCCAAGCGGCGCACTATAGTAGTGCGCCACCGGGCCGGCCCTAAGTGGGGTGTGTCTTCAGAATGCCAGTAGATGACAGCAGAGAAAAAGGGGAAGGCTGGTGTGGCCAAATGGTGTCAGCCTCCAGAGGAAGGGTAGTGGTCTGGAGGCAGTACCAAGCATGTGACCCACACCCCGCCCTTGCAGTCATAATAAAACTTACTTAAGAAATGGCCTTTGGTCCAGAGGCTACTAGCAGCAGTTGGGATTTAGCCAGGGTTGGGTGGTGAGGGGCATGTTCCGAGAAGAGCAGGTAGAGCATGTGGGAAGCTTTGCCCAGTGGGTGGCCCAGTGGAAGGAGGGAGGAGAAGCAAAGAAAGCAGCAGGGATAGGGGGCGGAGGGTAGTGATTGAGCAGACGGGGGCCTGCAGATGGCGGTGTCAGCACTCACGGTCTGTTTCAGGAGGCAGGGTACCAGTCCTCACATGGCAGAGGAGCACTGCCTTGGTGTCCCGCTCGGTCACTTGGGGGCAGGTGATAAAGAGGGCTGGCTGTAGAGGTGGTAAAACCAGTTAGCTCCTGTCTGACGAGTGTACTGAGTCCTTCAGTTCTTTCAACAGATGCCTGTGAAACGCCTTCTCCATGTCAGGCCTCTGCCAGCTGTGGGGGTAGGAAGAGCCGTCAGCCACAGCCGCCACCTGCTGCCGAGCAAGAGCCCCTGAGGGGGCTAGGCACCTGCTGCACCCCTGCCCACGCCCTGCCACTGCAATGACAGTGGCTCCCCTAAGACTGATTTAGACTGCAGAAGAAGGAGTTCCAATGTTTAAAAAAAAAAAAATGAAAATGAAAACCATTGCCATAATAGAATCTGACAGTTTCCTAAGATGAGTACATCTTTTTTACCTGACAATGCCCAGTTTCCTTTTTCAGAACTAAACTCACACTGTCTCTTGTTTTGCCCACCTCTGTTCATTTCCAGAGTTCGGCGTGTACTGCAGCCACTGCCGGAGTGAGGTCCAGGGCACGCAGTGTGCCATCTGCAAAGGCTTCACATTCCAGTGTGCCATCTGCCACGTAGCCGTGCGTGGATCATCCAATTTCTGCCTGACCTGTGGGCATGGTGGCCATACCAGCCACATGATGGAGTGGTTTCGGACCCAGGAGGTGTGTCCCACTGGATGTGGGTGCCACTGTCTACTCGAAAGCACTTTCTGAACTTACAGACCTTGGGAGTTGTCGAAAATCCCAGAGGAACCCGTAAATACCAGGGACAAGGTCTTTGCCAGGAGAGAGGCTCCAGAACCCAGGTTTATCTCTGATGAGATGGGAGTCTGTTCCCCTCAAAGACTGCTAGTAACATCAGTTCTTTGTGAGCTTCTACCTTCTCTTCTGCTGTTCTGGCATGGACGTCGCTGTGAGGAGGCGAGGGCAGACGTGTGGAGCCCTGCTCAGCCATGCTTTGTGTTGTCTGGTCTGCTGAGCAGCTGCGGTGGAAGTTCTCATTGAGAAAAGCACCTGCTCCAGAGCCGTGTTAACCTGTACAGTGCTCCCCTTCAACCACCGAATAGTGTTTTCCTGATGCCAAAACAGAGACCAAAGTCAGATGCAAGAGACAGTCTTCTGAGTCAAAGGACAGTGGATATAACTGAAGTGACGAGGGCCTGTGCTGTCTGTGGCTTTAGGAGTTGGCACATTTAATGAGCTGATGGACAGTGGCCTTGTAAAATATGATACTAAAACTATAAATATATGATGTACTTAAGGTTTCTCCAGCTGCTGTCCCTTGGCTAATAAAATTTTAGTGATTGTTTTTTTTTTTTAAAAGACAAAGTTGAACAGCATTTTAGTGAATCCTCTTTTTACCCTGCTTCTAATTGAAGCTAGCTATTACAGATAGGACCAAAGTCAGTGCACCGATTTTTAAAGGAAATGCTGATTTACTTTTGTCATCTGACAGGAGAAAATAGAATTTGACCTTCAGGGTTCTTCCCAGTCCCAAGAGTCTTGTAATTATTTCTTCCAGCAGGAGGAAGACACAGTTGCGTCGCAGCATTGACATGAAGTCTTCCCTTGCCTCTGCACAAGGTGGCTGGGCTCCCTCACTCTGCACTTGGGTTCCTTGCAACTGTGCCCATGTTGATCTGTGTTCCGAGTGGTCACACTCACATGAGTGTCCACCAACTCTTCAGAATTGATTTTCTTTTCTTTTTTAATTTTATTTTACTTCTCAATATACATTGTGGTTGATTTTCCAGAATGATTTTCAACTCTTCACATTTTGTGTGTGTCAGGGAAGAGAAATCCTCTTTTTTCTATTTCTGTTGAAATTTTTATTTCTATCTAGAATTTTATAATTCCAGGTTAATTAATTTAAGGAATACAACATGTCCCATAATACAAATGTTGTATATCAGTGTGTTTCAAACTACAGGTCAGGACCCATTAATGGGTTGTGAAATTAATTTAGTGGATAAAAACTAGCATTTAAAGAAAATGAAGTACTAACACCAAGGTCAAGGGTTTGGATCCCTGTGCTGGCCAGCTGCCGTAAGTAAATAGATAGATAGATAAATAAAATGAAATAGTGTAGAAGAGAAACCATCATAACGTACCATACCTAGTTAAGGTAACTATTGTTTTGTGTAACTTGTTTATGAGTGTGTGCACACACTTACACACATGTATACCAGATCACAAGGTTGTGGTCAAAAACATGATGATGCTCAGACCTGTCCCCTGTATTACTGCTGGGCATGAAACACCGTGACATAAGAAAAGGACTTAGATCCTGTGCAGTGAGAGTAGAGGTTTAACAAACTGGGCTCTGATCCACGTTAAGGTGCCAGTACCTCAACTGCAGGAGTGGCCAGGCCCCTGGAAACTGACAAAGCAGGAGGCCATGGACATCTGAACTTGGCCACACTCTGCTTTTCTCTTGTGTTGAGCACGTTGTAATGATGATCAAAGAATAGGTGGACTCATTCACACAGAGATAAAGCGTCTGTTGTGTTCCTCAATGAAATCACACCATTTACAGAGAACAAGCTTTTCCTGTTCCCCACTGCTGAAGCTAATGGAAGTCTGTCCCTGTCAGTCCCCATCAAGAATGAGATGTTTTCCTTGTTTTAGTTTATTGTTAAAGGAACGTTGTTTTCCAAAACTGAAAAACCTTAATAATGGGTTTGAAGAAATTTCAAGTTTAAAACTTTATATTATACCTTCTTTCATTATGTGAATTCCTTTTGAATTTCTAAGTTCCCAGAACAAAAGTCTAATATTTAAAAAATATTCACCCTTGGAAACGTTGGATGCTGGCCATGGTCTATATTCTCTCTGCCTCAGAATAGATTATTACAAGCACTTAAGTCCTTTTTTGTTTGTGTGTTTAAAAACAATACAAGCTGTGTTCCAAAGTACCTTTGAACTTGGCAAGGAAAACAGGGCTAGCAGTCTTACTTGTACACCAGAAACAAAAGATTGCTTAGGAGGCTTGCTGGCAAGAGACGGGGAGGGGGCTGCATCTTCTGGGCTACCACCAGCTTGATTTTGTGCCCTTGTCCCCAAGCCCCCCCCAACGCGGATGGTATATAATGTTTTTCTTGATCATGCCATGTAGATAGAATCAATGTTGCTTTAAAAAATTCTTTTAAAACTTTTATCTAGTATAAAAATGCATTTAGTCTGCAGACACTGTGTTCACATGCTGGGAGCTCCTGCCCTTACTCAGTGGCCCCCTGGGGGGCTGTCAGGATGGAGTAGAAAGCAGGTCCTTTTGAGTGGCTTAATGCAGAAGGAGCTGAGGGAAAGGCAGGAGGCATTCATTTCCTCAGGAGACAGATGCTGTAGCTCCCCTTGGGCTGAAGGGTGGGAGAGCTCATCTATGGTGAGGTCTCTGTGCAACAGAACAGTTTCTTAGAAGCCGATTTTGCTAGCTGTGGAAAATAGTTCAGAAAACGGGGTTATAAATAACATCCTCTACTTGATGGCTTACTTTCTCATACCAGCCTCAAGGCATACTCAAAGGATGGATCCCAAGGGATAAAACATACCTTGATTTCCTCATTCTTCTTAGAATCTAATGTCCTTATCAGAATCAGAAATGAATCTACCATATTGGTATTGTATCACATTGGTGAGTTTATGTCACCACAGTATCACAGAATGGGTATTTTTTTTCTTATGTCTAAGAAGGTCTGGTTTTATTCATCAGGTATTTAACGTGAGATAAGGCACTTGGTCAAAGATGAACCATATCGGGCCGGCCTGGTGGCGCAGTGCTACAGTGCGCCGCTTGGGAGCGCGGCGGCGCTCCCGCCGAGGGTTCGGATCCCACATACAGACCGGCCGCTCACTGGCTGAGCGAGGTGCGGGCGCAACACTGAGGGTTGCGATCCCATTGCCGATCACAAAAAAAAAAGACAAAAAGAAAAAAAAAAAAAGATGAACCATACCAAATGTGGTCTCTTCCCTGCTACAGGCAGAGTCTAGAAGGCAATTTAAGTATTTGCTTAAAAGCTTACAGTGCAACATGCTGGTGGCCTCCAAGGAAGGAAGGAGGAACTCCACTGAGGGCAGAGATGGTGCAGAGGAGGAGGATTTGGCTGAGGTCATTTGAAAGGCAAGTTTTCAGATGGGGAAGAGTGGGAAGGGCAGTGCCAGGGAGGGACAAGAATGCATGGCACTGGGGCACTGGAAGTGGTTTCCTATTGGTAGGGCACAGGCTGGACTGAGAATGAGGCTGGGAGGAGGGCAGGGGCCAGGGCATAGCGAGTCCTGAATGCTGCACCCAGGAGTCTGGGCTTTCCCTGTAAGCCCAGGTTCTCAGTCTTTGCTGGGCTCTAAGGCCACCATGGTTTCTGCCTCCTCACTACCCACTCACCTCCCAGGCCTCTGAGATCCGCTCAGGCTTGCTAGAGCCCCCAGCCTACTTGGCCTGCCCCGGGTAGTGTTGGGATGCCGTCCTGATTGTTTTATCCCCTTCACCTTCATTGCACAGGAGGAGCAAATAAAGCCAGCAGTGCAGCACACTTCTGTATCCAAAATGTGTGTGGATTTCCCCCATACACCAAGAAATTTTCAGCACACACCAGTTGGATGTCCTATAATCTGTCCTCCCTCCAGGTACCTTCACGTGTTCAGCAATCCAGAAACTCCTCCAAACACATTCTTTTTGTATTTTTATAGAGACTTCATTACATAGGCATGATTGATTAAATTATTGGCCACTGGTGATCAACTCAACCGGCAGCCCTTCCTTTCTCCTGGGGTGAGGCTGAAAGTTCCAATTCTCTGGTTCCCCTAGCAACCAGCCCCCATCTTGAGGCTTACTCAGGGCCTCATTAGAACAAAAGCTGCTCTTATCACACAGGAAATTACACGTCTCAGGAGCTCTGTGTCACCAGCCCAAGTCAAAGACCAAATATTCAAACAAAAAAATTTCCTGGCAACATATCCCTCCGATTACAAGGGATTTAGGAGCTCCATGTCAGGAACCGTAGTCAGAGACCACATATGTTTCTTATATCACAATATCACACCCAGAGAGGAAAGCAATGTCTCTACTCACACTCTGGTCTGTATTTGACCCGCACATTTTTGTTGTTGTTATTCTCAAAATCTATTTAATGATACAGAAGTCCATTATGTTAAGTGAAAAGAGCTGGATAGAAAATATACACACAGGACACCAATTTTGTAAAAAAAAAAAAAAAAAAACACCACACACATGCACATGGAAAAATCCTAGACAAGACCATCGCAAAGCAGTGTTGGACTTTAGGATCATTTTTTCCATGTGTAAACTGTTTATATGATTTTAAAAGTAATAAATGGGGGTTTATGAAGAACTTCCAGGAATGAATTATCAGTGGTGGCTGTATTAGTCCATTTCTGTTGCTTATAACAAGATATTTGGAACTGGGTAATTTATAAGAAAAAAAATTATTGCTTACAGTTTCAGAGGCTGGGAAGTCCAAAGTCCAGGGAACGTGTTTGGTGAGGGACTTGGTGGTGGCAACAGTGATGGCAGAGTCACATTGTAAAAATGGCAAAGCAGAGACAGAGACAGGCTCTCTCTTCTAAAGCCCTCAGAACCACACCCCTGACCACCATTTTTAATCCATTCACTACTGCATTGTCCTTCAATCTAATCACCTCTTCAAGGCTCCACCTTTCAGTTACCATATTAGAATCTCCCACCCTCATAACAGTCACAGTCGGGGCCAAGTTTCTAATACATAAAACTTGGGCGACACAATTCAAGCTTCAGTGAGTTTTGGGGGAATGTAATTCAATCCACCACAGTGGCCTTGGAACCTACATCCCCAGAGCTCTTTAACAATAGGACGCTTAGCAGAAAGAACCACTTTAAGGTAAACCTGCCTGGATGCAAGACAGGTAAGTAGCTGTGGATTCAGATTTGACTGTGAGGAATACAATTTTGGTGCCTGCCTTCTAGGAATTTACAGTATAATGAGAGACAGGCCACACACTAAGAGTCACCATTTTCTACAGGCCAGAGACTGTCCTAAGTTTTTTGTAGACATGAACTCATTTACTCCTTGCCCAGGAACCCTAAGGGAAGGACAAGTATCCTATCTCCAAAGAAGTAAGCAGGCTGAGGTTAAATATCTTCCTCAAAATTACGTTGCTAACAAGCAGTAGAGGCAGAATTAGAACTCAGAGCTCTAACGTCAATGCCTTTGACCCACACATTTTTAAGAAAAGAGCTTTATATCTTTATTTTTTTTTCTAATGTTAGAAACACATTCAATTTTGTTACTATTTTGTCCTCTTGGCTCCATCAGATGATTTTCATAAGTGCATTTATTGTGTTTTCACA